GGCATTAAAAAGCCACTCGTCTTCACACATTTCTCACCTTCTCATTTGTCGCATTGAATGATTGTACCTCCAAACCATGAATAAGTAGCTTAAATTATTGAAGAGCCTTACACGTGACCTTCTTTCCCCATAAATTTCTGTGTCAGAAAGTAGAAATATATCAACCACCACTTTAGATCACTCCAACCACCATATCAACACCAATCCCACGGCCATTGCTATCGGTGTTGCCACATGTACGACATTTTTCGTTATTAGTGACAACTTCTGTTTTTTTCATAACACTTGATGCTATTGACGTTAAATCCCTTGGGTGTACATTCACTTTGAGGCCATACTTCATGAACAATGTCAATGACATCTTTTGTTCCACTTTGTGGCCGGACACCACTGTCAGCCGGTGGCGGAGCAGCACCGCTGCTGCTATGGACTTCATTTGTAAGTAAGCCAAGTCCTTGCCTAAACATATTCTTGGACCAGCATTGAAGGAGACAAACTTGTAAGAGTCGTGCATTGTGAACTTCTTGCCATCAGGGGATAACCATCTTTCTGGCTTGAACTCTAGGCAATCCTCACCCCAAGTGGACTTCATTCGTCCGGCTGAATATATCGAATATGTAACAGATGACCCAGCCGGGACGAATGTACCATCTGGCAATGTGTCATCTGCCACTACATGCTTGGAGTCCTCAGGAACCGAAGGGTACAGTCGGAGTGTTTCGGATAATGCTGCTTTTAGGTATACCAAACGGTCGACTTCTTCATATACTAAAGGCTCGTCAACCCAATAATCGATGTTGATTCCACGTGTCTCACTCAGAACGGTGCATATTTCTGATAGAATTTTCTCTTCAACTCTCGGGTTTTGCATGATCAACCAAAAGAACCAGGTCAGTGCAACCGATGATGTGTCACGTCCAGCTAGGATGAAATTGAGTGCCACGTGTTGCAAGAATTTGTCTGAGTAGGATTCTTTTTTCTTCATGAATCTTGATAGCAAGTCATCATGTGCATTATCATCTTTTTGCTTATTCATCAGCTCGAGCTTGCGTGTCTTGATTATGCTTGACAAATACTCGTCCACGTGTACGAGACTTCGGCTCAAGCTGACTTCCATTCCAAGCCGAAGCCATTTCTTTAGCTTCCATATAACTTCAGGAAAAATGAAGCGCTGCAACGTCGCCTCGGTCGCTCGGTCAAAGGCTGAGGCAAAGCTATTATTTGGCATCTCTATTGCAAGAGTTTCCGGATCCTTCCCGAAAGCCAAGCCACATATGTTATCGAAAGTGAGCCGAAGCAATAGATCCTGCAAATCAACCGGCTTGGCTTCAAGTTCAGCTGTCTTGAGAATCGGACAAAACCGATTCCTGATGGCGTGGTTCACCCATCGAGCCATAGCTTGACGTAAGGTTCGCGTGGTAAACTCAAGGGCTGCCGTCTTTCTTTGAACAAGCCACGACTCACCATCCGAATTGAAAATCCCCTGGCCTAGCAAATCATGAAAAACAGCTTGCCAAGTTGGACCTTTCGGATAATTATCAAACCGGGTTTTCAAAATGTGCTCTACATTCTTAGGCTCACAAGTGACGGTCACAAGGCCTTGCTTCCGGGCTAATAAGGGTATTGCGCATATACATGTCTGGTACGTGCCTCCACATGCGCGGAGGTTATCGGCTATCCACTCGTGCATCGAGTCGGAGTTCTCAATAAGGCCTGGGAGGCTGCCCAACACGGGCCAAACACGCGGGCCTTTCAATGACTTGGAAATGAAGGTGAACCATAGTAGATAACAAGTGACAGCAGTGAAACACAGCAACGCTACATATATATCCATCTCTCAAGGAACAACAAAAAACACTAACAAATCCAATGAATCAAACTCAAAAATTTGAAACCCTTTACAGATTTTTGCATAAACAATTGTGGGTTTTTATTGGTTTGATGGATTTTTTCAGGATCGGGATAAAATTGGAAGGATATGCTAAAATGGTAAAGAAAATATCAGTTTTTGATGGAGAAAAATGAACTTTGGGGTTGAATTTATAGATCAGAAGAATTAAATAAGCAATTACTGAGGCCAGTCTGGTTCTTGAATTTCACCCTCTCTCTCTACTTTTCTCTCTCTAAAAATGCCATAAATGCATACCAGAGGCAGTTGGAATTGAAATTCAAGATAAAACAAAAGACCAGGGAAAACCCAATCTGTTAAAAAAAAAAAGTCTAAAATAAAAAACACTTACAACGAGTTCTTCAAATGCCTCTCTCTCTCTCTCTCGTTCTCACCCCTCTTTCTATCTCTATATTTCCAAATTCCAACTAATTGCTGGAGTGAAAAGAGCTGGGCTCTTTAAATTCATGCATTCAATGAAGAGAAATGAATGAGATTAGTTGAGGGAAAACAGAAAATGAGATTCCATTCCATTGAACTCAAGAAAAATGCACAATATAAAGTCAAGATTTTGCTTATAGTTTTTCTTGAAAGTCATTTCATAAATGGATAATGGGTTTTGAGATAAACTCAAAAAATGCAGATAATATAGCCAAGATTTGCCTATAGTTTTCTTGAAAATATATTAATAAATGAATCATTTGATCAAAAAATGCAGAAAATAAAGCCAAGATTTTGTTTATAATTTTTCTTGAAATCATGGGTTTTGGATTGATCTTGTAGCTTGTAACAGTTCGGTGAACAACCCACCAACAATTCATGTCAATGGCTTACATTGCGTGAGCCAAAATTCAATTAAAAAATTCAAGCTTTATCCTTTTGCGTGCCCAAAAATTATTACTATTTTTAATCTTTTTATATCACTTTCATAGTTTGACTATTTTCAATGCAAGATAAAAGTCAACCATTCTGCAACCATGATTTCCTGCTATAAGAAAGTCAACTTTATTGCCACAGATTTTTGGATAGAACAATAACCTCACCTGATTTGGAATTCGAGCCTTATTTCATGCCAATCTATATGGGCAATGAATATGGTGTAGGTAAATATTGGAGATCATCTTTATGTGTTGTAGCTAATAATATAGGGTAAATGATAAGGCTAATTAAACGTATGAAAAATATGATACTTTATTAACTTTATCATTTAATATTACTTCACATAAATATCTTTTATTTGTACATATAGCATTATTCATGGACAAAAATCTTAACTTATAATAGAAATTTGAGTAGAGATTGTTTATTTAACTTCTTTCTATCATGAATAGTCATTTTTGTTATTATCAAAAACTTGAGAATTGACATAATTTTAATAAAAGAGCAAAGAAGGAACTTGAAGGATGGTTGGTTATTTGTTTTGATACCATGATAGAATTATGTGCAGCATTGCGTAAAAATTACATTTTAGAAAGTAAAGCAAAATGTAGCAAAAAGAGTTGTAAATACGTCAAACACTCTGTCTCCTGAAAAAGTAAAATTTTAATTTCATCTCACGTCTCGATGGTATGTGGTCAACGCTAGACCTCTTTCTCTTTGATATACTTATTCAATTGATAGTGACTCTTTCTAAAGATTTTCTTTTCAAAAAATATATTTTATTAGTAAAAATTAACTTTGAAAATCATGTTTGATAAAAATAAGTTTAACCTAATTCAGGCACGTCTAACACTTTCTCTAGATCATCTTATCTAAATTGTAAAATTATTAAGGAATGGACTACCTATTTATTAATCTTGAGCGAATGCCCAAGTCTAATTGAAATTATTTATGACTGTAAGATTTGAAATGTTATCTTCGTTTGGTGTTGGCATGGGTCTCTACACCATAATCAGATTTCTTAGAGGCACCCATTGAACATGGATTTTTGAAAGGGAGATAGGAGAATTTGATGCATGATTTTATATAATTGACTCGAAAATGTTGTGTGGTCCGCCACATGTAAGGTGGACAAGATCGATTTTACTACGAATAACATTGTTAAATAATAGGAGAGGTGGGATAGTGGAGAAAGAAATGTTTGGGCAAGTGAGAAATAATAGTGTGTTTGATTGGAATTTTTTTTCTTTTCATGGGAAATATCATTTTTCATTCAAATTCCAACTTTTGGGGCGTTTGTTGATAATTTTTCCATGAAAAATATTTTCCAACTTTTAGCCACGTCACCATATTTTTCTCAAAAGTAAGGAAAATATCTTTTTTAGGAAGAGGTTATTTTTATTTTCCAGGTAATTTACTCTTATCTATTCACTCTATCTCATTTGCTCTCCAATAAAAAATGGACAATTATAATATTTTTAGATTGAAAATTAAATCAATCCAACACATTTAATTACTAATTTCGATATAAATAAGTTCTGGACAGTTGAATTATCTAAAACTTATTTCTTTCCATGCAAATCTCATATTTACAATTAAACACACCCTAAAGGATAAATAGAGAGAGGAAATAGGGAGGAAGTCATGGAGTCAGGGGTGAGCCTTGGAAGTAGGGAAGTCACATAAATTTAACTGCCTTATTTTCAAAATCTGATTTTCAATCATTTCCAAAATGGGTCGTTCATGTGTGACAACCCCTGGTTGTGTAGGGGGGTTATGTGTCACCCCCTATTGGGGGAGGGGGGGTTTGAACATTTCTTTTTCTTTTATTTATTTTATAAAGTTGTTTGAGAGGCAAAAACAACAATTAATTAATTAATTTTTAATAAAATACTGCATAGACATGAGACATTGGATTGGGCTTGGATAAGCCATATATGGTCTAAGCTTTATATCTTAAATGTCCAATAAGTAAATTGATAAATTAGGCCTTAAAAAAAAAAAAATCAAAGTGTTACATCATCCCTTTTCCCTAAAATAATTTTGTCGTCAAAATTGTCTTAACTAAGTAAACAATTGTGGATACTAGGCTTTCATCTCTTCTTCTCTTTTCCAAGTAGATTCTTCCACTCATTGGTTTTGCCAATGAATCCTAATAATTGCTATTTCTTTATTTCTTAAAACATGGAATTTTCTTTTAAGAATAGATATGGAAAATTCTTTATAAGATAAATCTTCCTTTGGCTCTAGTTTTTATATTTCCATTTCGAAAGCCTACAAATGCATAGCATCTACTTTTAGAGTTTGCAAGAGAAGGATAATTGCAATGGTAGCTTAACATGTTCTAGCTTCTCGATTAGCTTATTGATCAACCAAGCTACTTTCATTGTATAGTAGCTATTAGTTCTAGTTTGTCTTCTCATTCAGAGGTGGCTCTAGTGACACCAAACATCGTGGTTTGATAAAATGTCTTCAACTTAGACACAAGACGAAAAGCAACATAGTGATCGAAAAGCCATGTCACAAATCTTCATCTATTAAATCACACAATTCAAGATGTTCTCTAAAGGAGAAAAGTGTCGCTGCACTGCGGTTGAGATTGGAGCAACTTTGTATGACAAAAACTTAAAGCAGCACTTGTATTCTCACCGGATGTTTGAAGGTAATTTAATAGATGATCACTTAGCTACGTTTAAAGAAATTGTAGCTAATTTAAAAATGTTGGAAGTTAAGTATGATAAGAACGATTTTGCGTTGATGTTATTGTGTTCATTGCTGCCTTCGTATTCAACTTTTAGAGATACTATACTCTACAATCGTGATACTCTCACTATGAACAAGGTTTATGATGCTTTATTGTCAAAGGAAAAGATAAAACATCTTGTAGTTGGATCTGAGAGTTAGGCTGAGGGTCTGGTTGTTCATGGGAGGAACCAAAATAGGAATTTTTGTGGAAATATGAAGGGAAGATCGAAGTCTAGACAAACAAAGAAGGTATGTCACTTTTGTAAAAAGGATGGACACATTAGAGTTGATTGCTACAAATTGAAGAATAGAAATAGAATGGTTGCTATTGGCACAGATAATGGAAAAACATCCTAAAAATAAAAAAGAAGATGTTGTGGAAGATGGGCAAAGTAAAGGAGAGCTTGTGATTTTTTACAGTAGTTCCAAACCTTATGAGGATTGAGTTCTTGACTTAGCTTGTACACTTTATATGTGTCCCAAAAGAGGCTAGTTTACAACATATGAAGGAGTTTCAAGAGATATTGTGATCATAGGAAACAACGCACCTTGTAAAATAGATGGCATTGGTATAGTCATGATCGAAATGTTTGATGGAGCTTATCATGACACTTACTTCTGTAAGGCATGTTTCAGAATTGAAGAGGAATCTCATATATTTGAGTACGCTTGATTCAAATGGATATAGATATACCGGTGAATGTGGAGTTTTGAAGGTGAGTAGATGTGCTCTTGTTGTTATGGATGGACATAAAAGCTCAACATAGTTGTACATGTTTCAAAGTTCCACAGTTAAATGAGATGCAGCAGTTACGACTTCTTCCTAGCAAATGAAAAAGTTACAAAACTTTGGCATATGCTTCTTGGACATATGAGTGAGAATGATATGGTAGAATCGTGCATGAATGGATTTCTTGATAGGCAAAGGACCAATAAATTGAAGTTTTGTGAGCATCAAGCCTTTCGAAAACACAAAATGGTCAAATTCACCAAATGAAGACACAACACGAAAGGAACACTTGAGTGTATCCATAAGATCTTTGGGTATCAGCTAGGATGCCTTCTAAAGGAGATGCCTATTCTTTGTTGACAATTATTAACGATTTCTCCAAAAGCCTTGGATATTCTTCTTAAAATAACGAGTGATGTGTTTGCAACCTTTAAAGAGTGGAAAACAATTAATGAGAAGCTGACTGGGAAGCATGTAAAACGTCTACGCACAAATGATGGGTTATGGTCTTTTCAGATGAATTCATTAGCTTCTTCAAGTCATAAGTGAACTTGAGACGCTTGACAGTACCAGAAACTCTGCAACGGAATGCTGTGGCATAATGAATTAATAGAACCTTGATGGAAAATGTTCATTGTAAGCTTTCAAATGCTTGGTTGTAGATGACTCTTTGGGCTGAAGCTGATACTACAACTTGTTTCTCATAAATCACTCATCCTCAATCGTCATTGAGAAAAAAGTTAACAAAAGAGGTATGGTCCGGTAATCCTTCTAATTATTCTAATTTAAAAATATTTAGGTGTTGTGCTCATGCTTATGTGAATAATGGGAAGCTGGAGCTAAGGTCTAGAAAGTGCAATTTTCTTGGGTATAAATCAAGTGTGAAAGGATATAAATTGTGGTGTCCATAAATAGGAAAGGTGGTGGTTAATAGAAATGTAGTGTTTGATGAACTTGTAATATTTCAAAATTTACCTCTTGAAGATTCTGGTAAAAATGAA